TATTCACAATAGACAAATGTAGAAAAAATCCAATGTCCAGCAACTAATGGATGGCAGTATACATAAAGAGTAATAAAATGAAATGCTGACACTTACTACAACCTGTACAAATCTTGGAAACATTATGGTAACTGAAAGAAACCAGTTACAAAAGAACACAAGTTGTATAATTCCACCTGTAATAATATCTAAAATAGCTAATTCTGCAGAAATAGGAAAAAAAGATTAGTGATTGTTCTACTGCTGGGATGGGGGATTTGGTGTGCTAATGGGTACATCATTAATTTATGAAGTGATTAAATATTCTAAAATTAGATTAGGGTGCTGCTTGAACATTTCCCTGAATATATAAAAAATACTTAATTATACACTTCTTTTTTATTGATTGATTGATTTAAGAGAGAGAGGAGAGAGAAACATAAATTTGTTGTTCCACTTATTAATGCATTATTGGTTGATTCTTGTATGTGCCCTGACTGGGTATCAAACCTGCAACCTTGGCATATCAAGACATTCTAACAATCTGAGCTACCAGACCAGGGCCAATTATATACTTCTAATATGTGAATTCTAAACTATGTGAATTTTATCACAATGAAGTTCTGTAAAATTATACCTGTTCACTAAAGCCATTCAATACAGACTACTGTTACTTTCTTGAAGTTGAATATTTGCCTGAAAATTATTAATATTTTAACAGTCACTGAATGTTACTGACCTTCATTTTCCTCAGAGCAAAATATCATTTATACTGGTTTAGAATGCCATGATGTTTAAAATTTTTGCGACTATTAAACACACAGACACACACACACACACAGACACACACACACACACACACACAGACACACACACACACACACACACATATATATATATATATATATATATATATATATTTTTTTTTTTTTTATTTATTTATTTATTTATTTATTTTTTTAATGCACCAGAATCCAGAAATACTGATGAAAGTTGGAAGGCACTACCAAAGCACTTTTACTAATAGGGATAAGTCCATTGAACTTATAAAGTATCTTTTAAAAGAAGCTCAACCCTTGGCTGGTTTGGCTCAGTGGATAGTGCATCAGCCTGGGAATCGAAGGGTCCTGGGTTCAATTCTGGTCAAGGGTACTTAAAAAAAAAGAAGAAGAAGCTTTTACATCTTTATGAAATTCATGAAGGTTGGGAATGCAGTTAATTATTAAGCCATAATGATAATTGCAACAAAAAAATCTTATAGCACTTATCTTCCTAAATGTTCCTATATCTTTACATAAATTCTTATTAATTATAAATCTTTAATAATTAAAAGCTAATGAGAAATAATGGACTAACAGTAATGTCATGAAATGTGAATGGCACTTTAGAGACCAATAGGGGCTTCAATATGTCCTCTAAGGAATGAAGTTAGCCTGGAAAGTTTTTTAATGTAATTGGGCTATGGTATCCTGGTACAGCAACCTCCTAACAGTTTCCTTACTACAACTCTAACCTTATTATGATTCCCAAGGGGCTGCAAATAAGAGCAGATTTAAACTTGTTAGCATCCTTTAGAATTCCCTCAATTTGTACTTATTCACCAAGATAGCTTGGAATTAGAATATCCTTCAGCACTAAGTTGAAGATACGAAGTGTAACAAAAAGAAGAGGCAAATATATCTGTTACATATTCCCAGGGACAGAAATGAAATAGAATTGTATGCCTTAGTTTCACATCTAGAAAGCTGCCAAGATGGCCAGACATTCTATTTTTCTAAGTCATGATGTTACAGAAATACAGCTTGGTAATGAGCTTTATTAAAATCTTGGAGAATAAGTAACATGGACTGAATGCTTGTGTCTCGGCTGTTGAAACCTAATGTGATAGTATTTTGAGATTGGGCTTCTAGAAGGTAGTGAATTCATAATAACGGAGCCCTCAAGAATGGGATTAGTGCTGTTACAAAAGACACTTCCTTACTCCTTATAAAGACACAGTGAGAAGATGGTCTTTTATGCATTAAGAAATGGGATCTTACCAGACACAGAATCTGCCAAAACCTTGATCTTGCCTCCAAAACTTGGAGAAATAAATTTTTGTTGTTTAAGCCACCAGTGTACGGTATTTTTGCTATACTATAGCAACCCTAATAAACTAAGATGCTAAACCTGATTTATAACACTTCCCCAGGCTGCCTTGTTTTCCCCAACCATCCACTAATTAAAAGAAAGGTGGGGTAATGATGCCCCAAGAATTCTCTGCAAACATACTGTCCAAAGTCAAGTTGGAGGAGGTCTGGTATAATATAAAGAGAAATGCATGTTGCCGAAACCGGTTTGGCTCAGTGGTAGAGCGTCGGTCTGCAGACTGAAAGGTCCCAGGTTCCATTCCGGTCAGAGGCATGTACATTGGTTGCGGGCACATCCCCGGTGGGGGGTGTGCAGGAGGCAGCTGATTGATGCCTGTCTCTCATCGACTTTTCTAGCTCTCTATCTCTCTCCCTTCCTCTCTGTAAAAAATCAATAAAATATATTTTTTTAAAAAGAGAGAAATGCATGGGATTTTAATTGATAGATGACGATGAAGTTGACAGCTGATCTCGTCTCCTCTCAGCCAGCACTACACCTATTATGTCCCCAACTACAATGTGATATTGCAATATTTTACTTGAAATCCCATCTAATAAAAGATAAACATGCAAATTGACCATACCTCCACTAAGTCCACAAGCCACACCCAGAAGCCAATCAGGAGCGAGTATGCAAATTAACCCAACCAAGATGGTGGTTACTTTGCATATCTGGGCACAGAGGGAAGACTGAAGACAGCCTAGAAGGAAGCCAAGTGCTGCAGAAGAGAACGAAGCTGGGGAGAAACAAGCAAGCAAGCAGGTTAGTGGAGAAGGGAGGGAAGCAGGCAGGGTTGGAGAGAAGGGAGGGAAGCAGGCGGGGTTGGAGAGAAGGGAGGGAAGCAGGCGGGGTTGGAGAGAAGAGAGGGAAGCAGACCACAGCAGGAAGCCCTATTGCAGGAATCTTCCTGCAACATGCTTCTAGTAGAATATGAAGTCCTAAACTAGCAATTTCATTAACTTTCTAATTGTGAGGTTTTAAATATAAGAAAATTTAAATCATGGAGCATGCAAGCAGCCTGGCACGGATTGTGCCATTTCTTGATACAGCATTCCTGAAAAGTAGGTGTTACTAACCATATTATACAAATGAGGAAACTGTCACTTGCCCGAAATCACACAAGTAGAAAGTGGCAGAGCCTAGATTGAACCCAGGTATATTAAATTCTAAACCCGTGCTTGAAATGATGTCAGACTGCTTTTCTTTAAAAATATTACTTTTTAAAAATTAGCTAAGTTTTATTCCACTTAAAGTTATTTTATGTAAATTAAATCCCTTTAAAAGTTTTTTCAGGAAAAAATAGAGACTATGAAAAGGTATAACTATAGGATAAATTGTCCTTATGGGAAAAGTTTCAGCTTATGAAAAATTAATTTTTCAGCTTATGAAAAATTAATTTTTCAGCTTATGAAAAATTAAAAATTTAAATTTTACTCTCAGACCTCCAAATACTCTAATGCATTTAACATTGTTAGGGTTTATGGTAAAGCAGGAGAAAAAATGATATATATCTGAGTTGTATCGTGGCTCTCACATGTACTGGCTGTGTGATCCTGGACAAGTTATTGGAATGTGGATCAAGTATCTGTATGTCTAGATAGCCACAGAGATTAAGTGAGATCAAGTATATAATGTAACTGATGATGCCTGTGTAAAACTTTCAACAATGCTAAACATATTGTCAATATTGTTATTAAAAACAAAACTGAAGGAGTGAAAAAGTAAAAATATAAAAGCAGGGAATGAAAGGAGTGTTGAGGAGGAACTTTATGGTATGATTCAATGTTAGTTTAAGTATGCTTTAGGAAAGAGCAAATACAGAAAAATTAGTAGACTCTCAATAAAAATTATGACTAATGATGATGATAGAGTCCTCTTCTGTTAAGGCTAGGTGCCAGGGGGATAGTTCTCATACTCTAATATTACTTTTCATTTTGAAGTAGAGTATTATAAAATGAAGGGAGATAAGGTAAGTTTATTTTTTATATTAATTGAGAATAGCCAGGAAGCATCTTAAATTCAAATAAAATTTAAATATTGTGTTTGAACAAATTAAAGTCTAGCTAGTAGCAAGGAAAAAAAGGCAAATATTCATGCTCTGCAATTCAAATTCTCTGAAACAGATTTTTAAGAGGTGATCTATGACTTTAAAGGGTGTTCTAAGAAAGTTTTATACCTCACTCTTGAGAGTATTTGAAGCACGTGTAGATAATTAAATATTTGGGGAAGTAATGTAATTAATTTTTTCACAGGTAAAATTTGCTTTAATTTTTATTCTGAACATGCCTTATACACATTTTTTGAAAAGATTCTGTGATTAATGTTCCACTGAACATTTGAATAAAACACTTTCTTTTAGAGAAAGGAGTTGGCTGAGTTACAGCAGGGTCTGACTTCCCAGCCATCATCACCTAGAGAAATTATTAACTTCCCTTGCAAATGTATCCAGGGAAAGCACCACTCATCCAGTGACATCTCCTCACACTACAAGTAAAAATCATTATAGGAATAAACTGTGTTCAAGGAGATGAATGTAGCCAATTTAGTCCTATTTTAGTGATGGCAAATAAGTTGCTTCCCATAAGGCTAGTATTTGCTGGTCAAATCGTTTTAAATGTCAGGAGAAAGCTGCCATGTTATAAAAATTATTATATTCCACAAAGAAAAAAAAAACCATAATTAAACATGACCAAAAAAAATGCAAGATTCCTCAAAGAGATGACCCCAAATCACCATTTTGAAGCAAAAAAAAAAAAAAAAAAAAAAAATCTCAAAATGACTTCAAAATGTGAGTTATGGGACCCAGGTCTCAAGTCTAACTGGGTACCAACACAGCTTTTTATACCAAACAATGCTTTTTAAAACCTTTATATAACAAACTTACACATTACCTGGTAATTGTTTTGGTTTTGTGATAACCTCAATTGGTTTGATGATGCAAAATGTGAAGAAAAATTATTCCGTGGTGGATTTGTATTACTGTAAATTGTTGTAGGTGCTGTATGTAATGAGGTCCGTGGTGTCAAATGGTAGTCTCTGTTTTGATACAGTACATTGTTTGACAAGTCTCTAATATTCACCATCTGTGAAGTTGGCATATTTCTTCCTGGTCCTGGCAAAGCTGTACTTTGGTTCTCAGCTTGAAGGGAACTGCAACTTTCATAACATCTTGAGTAGCTTGGTATCTGTGCTCCCATCAGTGCTAACTCTTCCTCTCTGGCATATTCATCATCAGCATCTCCGGTCTCCATTGCAATGGAGAAACAAGTTCCTTCTGCTGAACTAGACTTCTGTGGAGGATTTCCTCCCAGAATTCTCTGGGGGTAATCACTAACTGCCAATGAAAATACTTCACGGATTTCTAAGTTTTGTGTTCTACAGTAAGGATCTCTAATAGGTGGTTTTTGCCCACATAAGTTATGTGATGTTAGACGCGTGTGTTCAGGCTTATATGGCCTTTGAATTCCAACTGGTTCAATTTTGCAAGGTCGGTGACAAGATGGCTTTTGAGATACCATGATATCAGAGGCTTGCATTGAAGAGCTTCCGTAGTTTTTCTTTGCATATACGGAGTTTCCAGCATTTAGCACACTTGTCTGTCTTGACAAGATAATCGTTTTTTCACCCAAGAGCAGAGAGGCATTTTTACAGTGTGCTACTTGTCTTTGAACAGGAATGTGCAGCTGAAACTCAGTACCATTTTCACTGGCAGTTTTCTGAATGGGAATTTTATGTGCTTCTGTAATTTGTGTATTTGTATATTTAGTTGTTCCTTGCCTACTTAGTGAACTAGCTGGACTGTATATTCCAGTCACAATAACATCATTATTGGCAGATGACCAAGAAGACTGTTGGCTTGAGGGTTGAGAAATATTAACCACATTTTTTACTGTAATGTCTGGAGCTGACAAAGAGGTACCAGAAATAGTTCCTGTTGTTGCTGCTCCTGATTCAGAATTTTTACTGCTCATTTTTCTTCTCTTATTGCCGACCCACGTCTGGAAGAATAAAAAAAAAAAATATATATATATATATATATGTTATAGAAAAATTCTTAACGAAAAGACAAGATAAAACGATTCCTGTATGATAAATTGTATTTCCATCTGTCAGAGAACCAAGGCCATTACATATTAAAGGTAAAAAAAGAGAGATAATAAAATTAAAAATAACTAAAGTATAAGGTCCAGAATAATCAGGGACTTGTATTTAATAAATACCAAGGGACTTTGATAATTGAATTGTATTGTTGCTCCTGTCCTCAAAACCCAACCAATTAATTTATCCATAGCAAGAACTTTAAAAATGTTTATATCCTGCCGAAACTAGTTTGGCAAGTGGTAGAGCTTTGGTCTGCGGACTGAAATGTCCCAGGTTCGATTCCGGTCAAGGGCATGTACATTGGTTGCGGGCACATCCCCGATAGGGGGTGTGCAGGAGGCAGCTGGTTGATGTTTCTCTCTCATCAACGTTTCTAACTCTCTACATCCTTCCTTTCCTCTCTGTAAAAAATCAATAAAATATATTTTAAAAAATGTTTATATCCTTTGACCTAGTAAATTCACTTTTGTGAATTTATCCTAAAAATAATCATAGATGTATATAAGTTTGTATGTATTGATGCTCATCATATGTTTCTTTATAATAATGAAAAATTGGAAGCATAGTTAAGGTAGTTAATGTCATTGGAAAATGTTTCTAATAGTGTTAAATATATACTTGCAATTTTCAGGTTTAAGAATTTTTCTTCTATTAATATTTTATAACTTGGTTAATTTAATTATTGCTAGATATTTAGGTTGTTTTTAGAAATATTCACTATTGCCAAAACCGGTTTGGCTCAGTGGATAGAGCGTCGGTCTGCGGACTGAAAGGTCCCAGGTTCGATTCCGGTCAAGGGCATGTACATTGGTTGCAGGCACATCCCAAGTAGGGGGTATGCAGGAGGCAGGTGTTTCTCTCTAATAGATGTTTTTAAGTTTTCTATCCCTCTCCCTTCTTCTCTGTAAAAATTCAATAAAATATATATTTAAAAAAAGAAATATTCACTATTATGAACAACACACATCATTGTACATGCATCCTTGTGCTATTGGTCTGTTAGAATGTTATTCTAGAAAGAAACTTGTGCTTTTTGATATTTTCAAAGTATCCTGCCATGCATTTATAAGAGTTCTGCTTTCTCCACACCCTTATCAAGACTTTGCATTACCTTTTTTGTGGTCCTTTGTACTCCAGGAGTTAATAAGAGGTATATAATTGCTGTTTTGGTTTAAATTACTATGGTTATTAAATTGCTTTGATAGAATTGCTTATCCATTTCCTTTACGTATTTTCATATTGGGTATTTGTTCTTTAATTGATTTACAGGAGCATTTTTCTACTAAAGGTAGCAACATTTTGTCATAAGTTACAAATATTTTCCTGTTTGTCATTAATTTATGGTAATTATTTTCTTCTTTACACTTTTGTCTCCGTACCAATTTTATGGTATAAATATGTATTGCTTTTAGAAACAGAAAATATATTATTAATAAAATAACACCAGTGATTGGCATTCAGGAATTGATTACAAAAATGTATTTTTATATAAATAATGTATTATAATAATCTTAGTATTATTACATTGAATCATGATTCTTCTTAAAATGTGCAATAAGAAATATTTCATTTCATAATGTGATCAATAAACTCTATAATTATTTCAAAATGTACACCAGATTATACACTACCAAAATACATTAATCTATTAAAAATTCTTAAAAAATAAATAAGTGAGAACATTAAATGAACTAGCTTCACACAGACATGGTGCAGGATAGATTTAATATTTGGTTAACTTTTGTGTGACCAAAAGTTTTAGAAGACCACAAAAATGATCCAATTTGCTATGCTCTTTATACTATAAGCTATATTAATGCTGCTGCAATACTATAAATAAAAACTACCATGTATTAAATACCCATCATTTGTTTTTATAGATATTATTTCCTTTAGTAGGTGTTACTTAAAAATTGTGTAAGTAAAGAAACTGAGATTTAGAAATGTTAAGTGACTTGTGGATACCTGCCACCAGAATTTAAAATCAATTTTCTTGATCTCAAAACATTTTTCTTCCACTATGGTGAGAAATTCCTGAAGCAGTCATCTCTGTTGGCCATTTTATACTTTCGTAATTAATATTTCTCTAATAAAGAAAATGTTCCAGAAACTGAGATGGCTCTATTTTGCTTTATATGAGGCAGTGGAAATTTTAAATGAACTCTGATTTAGTTTTACTAAACCGTAGAAGTGAGAATTATATACAGAGGGTCAAATGAATATAAATGTCACAGAATAAGACAGGAGAAAAAATCTAGAAGGTTTTAAAGTATATACTCAAGAGAAATATCTAAAAAGAAGGTAGGGGAGGATGAGGGTAAGGGGGAGAGATCAACCAAAGGACGTGTATGCATTCATATAAACCCAACCAATTACACAGACAACAGGGGGGTGAGGACCTGAGTTGGGGAGAAGAGGGTTATGAGGGAATAAGGACATATATATATAACATCTTAATCAATAAATAATGTGTTTTTTTTAAATTATTTAGATAAATGTAATTTTGATGTATGGTTCAAAAAGGTAAATTTTACAAATATTCCAAATAAATTATTGTGATAGTGTTTTTCCAAGTATGAAAAATATGCAAAATAATTATAAGGCACAATTTTCATAAACATATATAAGCATTGCATTTAAAAATTATAAACATGAAACCATAGTTAATTGGTAAAATGTGAACTCAAGAGCTACTACATTGGAAGGGCAGCTCGGCAATATTTCTGAGAAAACAAATAAATAGTCTACCATGTTCTCATCACAATACCAGAATATTTATCCTAACACAGAAATTTAAGAGTGATCCCAGTGCATTGCTAATTTATAACTTATTTACATAGTGCAAATATTGTTTACATAAATCCCTAGGTATTTATATTATCTACATATCACAAAATAAAATTCAGTAGAATATCATATGCATATGACACTCAGCTATCTAACCTCAGAAGACAGACAACCTAGATGAAACAAGACCCATGTATTTTATTAAAACAATCACTGACTTTAAAATTCACTTTATTTTGTTTTATATATAACTAGAGTCTCAGTGCACTAATTCGTGCACAGTTGGGGTCTGGTTGGGGAGAGGCTGCAGGCAATTGGTGGACTGGCCCCATTCCCTATCAGGTGGAGGGTGATCAAAGGGTGGAGCCAGCCAGGGGGAGGGGCTGCTGGTGGTTGGTCACCCCACCCCCTGATTGAACTCTTAATTGAACTCCTGGTATAGTGGACAATGAAGGTATTAGCCTTTTATTATATAGGATTTAATAAACTTGGTATATTATATTTTATAATAACTTAGAAATCACAAATATGAGGGGCCTTGGTGATTGAGTTTACTTTTGGAGACACTTTGTTAGCACCAAAACTAAGAATGTTTACAAAATGCATATTGCTCACTAAAATGGAGAAAGAAACACACACACATGCACATACATGAGAATTGATGTGAGAAATCATTAGACTGGTGTATTTTTGTAAAGGGGAAAGTCACTCCATATACCTTAGCAAGTTGTGAGCATTATTATGTGAGCACAGTACAATAGTTGATTTCCATACTGAAACTTGGAGTCAAAAAGTAAAGGTTTAATTATTTTCAATATTATCTACTGAAGTAAAGTAATAAAGTAGGTATTAAAAATATGTCCACTTAAAATGTTTAAAATAAGGAAAATCATTGTCTGATGGTTCCAAATAGCTGAAAATAGAATTTCCTAAAAGTCATTCACTTACAGAATCTAAAATTTACCAGTGCTTATAGAATACACATTATTTTTCTTTCCAAAGGCCTTATTGGTGTGAGTGATAAAATGGGTCAAACAAATAGATATGTTAATTTGGGATTTGGACTAGGAAAGTGATACCAGATAAAAAATGGAAAGATGCTGAAACCAGTTTGGCTCGGTGGATAGAGTGTCGGCCTTCGGATGGAAGGGTCCCAGGTTTGATTCCTATCAAGAGCATGTACCTTGGTTGCGGGCACATCCCCAGTAGGGGGTGTATATGAGGCAGCTGATTGATGTTTCTCTCTCATAGATGTTTCTAACTCTCTAGCCCTCTTTTTTCCTCTCTGTAAAAAATCAATAAAATATATTTTAAAAAATGGAAAGATACTTGGATCATCACTCCTTAGTGTCCATAAGATTTTTTTCAGTTTTCTCTTAGAAATTCCCAACTTATTTTCCTTTTTTTAAGACCTTTCTCTTTGTTTTCCTGTACCATTACCCGTCATATTTATATTTGCATGGATATTTTAACCTTTAAATTCTATTTACATTAAGATTATGTTGTATAAAATGAAGAAAAACAACAAACACTATATTATAAATGAGAAAAGTAATTTATGTTTCAAAAGAACATACAGATCAAGCAAAATACTGAGGGGAGGTTTCGTTGTGAATTATGAGTTGATAAAGAATTCTCTTTTTGTCTGATTACGAAAGCTACCAAAACTGTGTTGGAATTTAGATTTGGAACACCAAATTTCTATACACTCACCTACAATAGAGAGAATGAATTTGTTTGACACAATTCCTTGTAATGTATATAATATTTTACTTGTAAGCTTACATTCTATGAATTTATTTATTTTTATTTCTATAATTTGTTTTAGATTTCACATCATTTGAAGCATAAATATAAATGTGTGTATTTTAACACTCTCAATATTTAAGTACAATAAGTAAGTTATTAGGAAAGATTCAATAACAAATTTGAAATATAAAAGGTCACAGCCCACAAAGCAGCTACCTAAGAAGGCATTTCACTTTAAAGCAATGGTAAAATAAAACGGAAAAAGAGGGAAGAAAGAAAAAAGTTACCATAGGTGCAGTGGGAATGAGTTTGTACTTATGGAGTAAAATCTCATCAACTTGAAATATTATACACTTTACTAGTGGCCCAGGGCACAATATTTGTGCACATTTAAAGGGGATTAATTAGAAGAAATATTTTAATATTGCTATTTGCCCTTTCTCTATAATAAAAGTGTCAGAAATGAAAGAAAATTAGTAAAATGTATATGAAAACTCCCTCCTGTCAGAGTCTGGGGCATGCCTTGGGACCTAGAGTTAAGTCCCCACCCACCTGTGGCACCTAAAAATCATGCAAGACCACCCAGATCCAGCTGGCCTCAGCCCCATTGGTCAAGATCCAAATCTGGCCAGCCCCACTCCCATCAAGCTCAGCTGGGCAAGGCGCACAGCCTCAGGTCCTGTGGCCTGGCACTGGGTGGAGGGTGTAGCCTCAGGTCCCCCATCAAGTCCCACTGGGTTGGGGGCACAGCCTGAGGTCCCCTGTCAAGCCCTGACAGGCTGGGGGCATGGCCTGAGGTCCCATGTCAAGCCCCACTGGGCAGGAGGCACAGCCTTGGGTCCCCTGCCCAGGCCCAGTACCACGCAGCCTCAGGTTCCTGCTGATTGCTCCTTAAGGCTCGTTAGGGGAACTCAGCCTCCACTGTGGGTGCAGCCATCTTGTGTTACAGAAACCCACCTCCACTGTGGGTGCTGCCAACTTTGTGATGGTGTGATGGTCAATTTGCATATTCTTTCTTTATTGGATAGGATATTATTTTTTCTAAAGCAATTAAACATTTTTCTCTCAGGTTCACTAAAGGGCATTTCAAATATGAAATTTTAAGATATCAATAGGAAAAATTTCTAGTTTTATGATGGTTGATCTCAGTCAATAATTAATAGATATCCTGAATATCACCATACCCCTAGAATTGGTGGCACAATTCCCTTATTTCAAGATAAATATATCATTTAGTTTTTTAAAAATAATTATTCATTTCTTTATTGATTAAGATATCACATATTTGTCCTTAACCCCCATTCCAATCCCCCCCACTCATGCCCATACCCCCCTAATTTTGCTTATCAAGACATTTTTATCTTTATGGTCTTTGAATGTTCATCTGAAAAAACAAACAAACAAAAAAGACATTATTTCTCTTTACCAAAGTAGTCTGATGATGACAAGGATGGGAGAAAGTTGCTAATATTTAAATCCCTAAGGCTTCACGCCAGCAGGATTTGTAGCATGTCCAGAAAACGTAAAAGGACCTATGCACTTAGTGAAATCTGTGACTAGTTCTGATAGATTTATCTCTTGCCTCTTCTCTATCACCTTCTCATTGTCTTTTCAAATGTTTGACAGCTCTGATTTTTACAGATGAATATGATTGTGATAAAGAAAACTTTCCTCCCTTGTGATTTATTGTCCTTCACTTGCTAACCCATTAAAATGCATAAATTTTAATTAAAAAACAGAAGAAGTATTCATAAGAAAGTCTAGATTTTCCTAAAAAGACAAAAATACTCAAGTTATAAATGCCTGAAAGTATGCTTTTTTCTTGTTTTTAGATAAAAGAAAATATGCTAGATATACAATAGTCTCTCAAGTAAATGCCTGTTTTACTGATATAATTTTGTAGGGCTATCTATCTATATTAATTCTAGGCTAAAGACATCATAAAATCAACAACTAATTTTAAAGGTATTCATTATAATAGTTTGAAGGACTGGGATATTTAAATATATGATTAAATCCAACTTATTTTTAGTTTCTTCAAGGTATTCATAGAAACAAATAATAAATAATTAGCTTGGTTTATTTTTAAATTAATATATTTATACCAGGGAAATGAATCTGTTTATAAAGTTAGTGACTTTATACCCTCATAGTTTTTCTTATATTAAGCAATTATAACTTGGAATAAAAAGCTATAAATTCGAGAATGTAAGACCTCAATACTTACCCTGACTACACTGAAGTCCAGCTTAGTCTCCTGTGCACACTGTAATATTAGCTGAAAGCAATTTTTACTTTGATTTGTCATTCCATTTTCATAATAACGCTGTAAAATCCTTTGTTGTTCTACAGTAAATACAGAACGTAGATTCATCTAAAAATAAAAGAAGATACTCTGAAAATTGTGGGGGGAAACTGTGTATGTGTAGAATTTACAAGTTTTTAAAAAACCACTTCAGTGCTTTGAAGCTGCAAAATATTTTAAAGTCAATTAATCCCCATTAGTGGGCAAAAATCTGTGTGCCAAACGGAGACAGGTTTGCACTGAAAAATTATACATAATGGAAATACATTGAATTTGCTTAGAAAAAACACAAACATTAAAGACAATAAAGCGAAAGCCTTATCTGGATAGTGTCTTTCACTGAAATAAATATTTATGGCTAATAAAGCCAGAGATGGTGGTAGCCATACGTGGTCAATTATCAACAGGAGCACTCACTGTTCTTTGTCAAGCAAGGCATCTGGTATATTTCTTATAGCCAGAAGCTGTGCTCTGGAACAAAAAAAGTGCCTTATTTTCCTTTCTTTCTGGGTAAAAGGGTACTTTTGATATATTAAAACAAACCTCCTTTATAAAGCTTGAAAATAAACAAGTTTTAGTGACTGAAAATTGGTTTAGGTGATGCTAAAATAATTATTTTAATAACTATATAGTATACAAATCAAGAATCAAAATCATACTTTTTACTAAAAAGAACCCATATAAAAAGTATTTTAATTAAATTAACACCACCATAATTAGAAAAGAGAAATTTAGAAAATACTTTATCCTTCCCATCAATATATAACATACTTAATATTAAGGGAAAACAACTCTGGTAATATCAGAAGTAAAAAGCAGGTCAAACTCTTTTTAAAAATGATTAATTTTATTAGTGCATTTTATATAAAATACTTATAATTAGATTAAGGCAATTTTAGATTCTTGTTAAAAGCTTTCACACTGAAATTATTGCTAAAAGTTGACAGTCAGAAAAAAACCTTTCCCAAGGAAAGTGTCTCTCACAATTAGAAAAACAACAACAACAAAACAACAACACTATAAGCCAAACAAAATAGAAATAATTCTAGTATACTAGTTAAGGGGGGAAAAACACACACAAAAAAAAAAACAAGTACACTGACATAAAAATTAACTTCCCTTTGTCTGAATATTTTAAATTATAAAGCCATCTCATAAACAAATTAAAGATGACAGTCCTATAGCAATCCTCTGCATTTGTACACCCAACTTCCTTTCTTGCTCATACAAACATCTTCCTATCTAATGTCTAGCAATCTGATGAAAGAAAGTCAGATATTGGAGAGGACACCAGAAAGATAAGAGTAGAGTTTCTTCCTGGAACATTAAGAAATAAAAAACTTCACTAATTTTCTGAAGGGTTATCTATGAAAAAGTATAAACCTTTTATGTGAAATCTGACCAATTTTCAAGGATGTTGGGTCCAGAGGACAGCATCCATCAAAGCAATATTTACTATTATGGCTGCCAGTTTTTAGAGCACATTGTTTTTGCTGAAACAAAAGATGGAAGTCAAATACCTGAAAATCTTCATCTAGTGTGGATTTAGATGCAAAGAACTTTGGAATGAGTTCTGAGGAAGGGGATAAACTTAAATTCACTAATGCATATTTAAGGAAAAGGCACTGATCATGTTCTGCATGGCTGTAAAACCATAAAAGGCCTAGAGTACAACATACGGGAGATAGGTGTGATGATACCTGACCTAATAATAAAGGCATATTTTTCTATTGGCTGGCTAAAACTGCTACATTTACCCAAATGTGATATGAATCTTCAAAAGCACAGCTGGTCCTTTGTCACTAATACTAACAGACAAATATAGGTAACCATTACTAACCAGATTTCTGAAGTCAACAACTCTAACACTAGTGTAAACTTTTTAGTTTTCCCCTTAAATTCAGTAACAACATTAGGAAGTCTACTTCACTCAAGAGCTCTACTATTTTTCTTTCGAATTGCAGCAAGTAAACAACCCTTTTAAGCAAGATAATTTGTCATTACCTCCATCCACCCTAGTTATTTTGGTCTATTAAGTGGAACGATATTGAATGACTATAATACCAAAACTTAATCATTTGCACAAAAATTGAGAGTTGTAAAAACCTACAATTTAAAAATTTGGCTCTTATACTGTATATCCTACCTAATAAAAGAGTGATATGCAAATTAACCATCATTCCTCTACACCCACAAGCCATGCCCACTAGCCATGCCCATCAGCCAATCAGAGCAAGCATGCAAATTAACCCCAACCAAGAAGGCTGCAGCCACAGAGAGCAGTTGAGAGGCTTGGGTTTCCCTGGCAATAGAGGAAGTCAAACTTTCCACACACCCTGGCCAGCCTAGGCCTCCACTCAAGGGTACAAAGTTTCAATTATAGAAGATAAATCCCAAGAAAAATGACCACGGCCGCTGAGCTGGAGAGAACAGGCTAGGGTTTCCCCCAGCAATGGAAGAAACCAAGATTTCCACCTGCCCTTGCAGCCTAAGCCTCCACTCAAGGATACAAAGTTTCAATTATAGAATGTAAACAAATCCAAAAAGAAATGGCAGCAGCCACAGAGTGAGCAGGAGACTTGGCTCTGCTCCAGGCTACAAAGTTTCAATTGTAGAAGGTAAATAAATCCCAGATACCAGGGCCTCTGCTTGGGTTGACAGGGGTGTGTGGCTGGCCTGCAAACCACCACAGGCTCCTCACCCAGGCTTCCCCACGCCTCAAGGGAACCCCACCCTGATTCAGGACACCCTTCAGGGAAAACTAGCTGGCCCCCACCCATGCACCAGGCCTCTATTCTATCCAATAAAATAGTAATATGCAAATTGACCATCACTCCAGCACACAAGGTGGCTGCCCGCATATGGTGAAAGATCCTGCCTCCATGTGGACACAAGATGGCCACCACAAGATGGCCAGCAGGGGAGGGCAGTTAAGAGGCACCAGGCCTGCAAGGGAGGGCAGTTGAGAGGCAATCAACTCTATAGGGGAGGGCAGTTAGGGATGACCAGGCTGGCAGAGGAGGGAAGCTGGGGGCAAACAGGCTGGCAGGGGAGCAGTTAGACATCAATTAGGCTGGCATGGGAGTGGTTAGGGGGTGATCAGGCTGGCAGGCAGAAGCGGTTAGGGGCAATCAGGAAGGCAGTCAGGAGAGCAGTTGGGAGCAAGCAGTCCTGGATTGTGAGAGGGGTCCCAGATTGGAGAGAGTGCAGGCTGGGCTGAGGGACACCACCATCCCTTCCCCACCCCCCTCTGTGCACAAATTTTGTGCACGGAGCCTCTAGTGTGGTAGTTAAATAATTATCCAATAGTTTTATAAAAATGGAGGTCCACTGGTTTGGGGTAGGAAAGGTAATGGAATTATGGGATTAAATTCTGAAATAAGTCATTTAGCTTTACCCCAAGATTTATTCTTTGCACTGTACCACCCACTCAGCACATGCCATCCCACAAGAATAAGTCAACCTGTGACCTACTCTCAGCTCCACTGTGATATATTGGGTAAATCACTTGATTTCTATAAGCATCCATTTCCTAGTCTCTAAAATATTAGATTCTATGACATTTTAGTTTTCAGTCTGGATTGGCCCAATCATTTGGGATATGCAAACTGATTTTTCTTAAATTATAACTTGTGTTACAGTCATAATGTATTTCTATTTTTAAGTATAACTAGACCCTTTTGTTTATAGTATTCAGGCATGGGATTTGTTAGATTGCTCTAAGCTTTAAAATTTGATGTTTTAATGAGGACCTTGAGCCATTGAGAAAATATTAAATTATGCTCAGTATATTGTATTCAAACAAGGAGAATGATGAGTAACATATTTTAGGTTTATTGCTTCAGAAGTACTTGAAAAATAGTTTCTAGGAATAACTACTTCTTTAGAAGTTCCTGATAGCTAAGGATATATTTTCACATGGGAATATATCAGGTAAATTCCTATATAACATTGTTTGTATACATCTGATGTCATATTTAAAATCTGCTCTAATAATGCCCTTAATAATGTCATAACTGGTTAACTAATTTGCAAAGTACCAAAATATTTTACTCATAAATACTCATTTTTGAAAAATATGATGTTAAAATGGGGAATCCATAAAATTCAATTCAAATATTACACATTTTCCAACAATAAAAATTTGAAGTTTGTATAAGCCATTGTTTTTCGTGTTATTACTGTTTTTATTTAAAGAGTTTAACCTAGGTTAATATACTACCTCAACTATCTTAATCTTGGCCAATATGTCTCTATTAACATTGTCCTTTTAATTCATTATTATTATTCATCTTTAAATTTACATACAATAATCACTCTTTTGGTGTATAGTTTTATGAGTTAAGACAAATATATGTATATATTATTAGTAGTCATGAAACCACCTCCACCATAAAAACACCGAACAATTTTATCATTCCAAAATAATTCCCTTATGCTGCTTCTTCATAATCAATCCCTCCAGACACATAGGCCCTGTCAAAAGCTAATCTGTTTCTATAATTTTAATTTTTATAGAATGCCATAATAATGGAGTTACACATATGTATCCTACTGAAACTAGCTTCTTTCATTGACCACAATGCATTGGGTATTTACCTGTGTTTTATGTATCAGTACTTCGTTGCTTTTTATTTTAGAGTAGTATTCCATTGTATGGATGTACAATGGTTTATCCATTCATCCATCAATGGACATTTGGGCTTTTACAAGTTACTGACTATTATTAATAAAGCTGTTAAAAACATTTATATTCAGGTTTAGCTCTGCAAATAAGGTTTAATTTCTCTTGAGCAAATACTCTGGATTGTAATTGCTAGGTCATATGGTAAGTATATGCTTAACTTTATAAGAAACTGCTGAACTGTTTTAAAAAGTGGTTTGTGTAAAAAAGTATACAATGTTTTTCTTAATAATATTCTATGAAGTTTCTTTGTGTTATTTTTATCTCCTCACCAGCATTTATCATATTTGTTTGAAGTTAGTCATTCTAATATCTGTATAATTGTATATTATTATTATTATTATTATTATTATTATTATGGTTTTAATTTGTATTTTCCAAATGA